AAAGGCTTTATAGCAACTAAAAGACTTAAACAGGGATGCTGCATATCACCACCACTTTTTAAAATATACTTAGAATAAGCGCTTAAGGGGTGGATAGACAAATGCAGACACATGGGAATACCGCTCAATAAATACAATCTATATACTTTAGACTTTGCAGATGATCAGATTTCAATTGCACAGGACTATGATGACCTAGAGTACATGACAAGAAAATTGATAGAGGAATACGAGAAATGGGGTTTGAATTGGAAGTAAATCTAACTAAAACAGAATATATGACCATAGGAGGTGAACAACGAACTCTGAAATTGGATAACGGACAAGAAATAAAATAATGTACTGAATACAAATATTTGGGCAGGAAAATCTCACATGAGGGAACCTAAGACGAAGCGATTTAAGATCGGAATATACAAGGACGCAAGGCAATATCCCTACTAAATGGTGTACTGTGGGACCAGAATATCAACAAAACTAACAAATTTGGAATATACAACACCATAGTCAAAAGCATAAGTCACATATAGTCTAGAAGTCTGGCTACTAAAGAACAGAACCTCAAAGATTCTGGAAGCAACTAAAATGGACTTTTGGACGAGAGTGGCACGCAGGTCAAAAATGGAAAGGATAACAAATCTGAGAATTAGGGAGATTACGGATGTAAAGCACACAATAGTAAATGAAGTAAAGCACAAACAGCTGATTTGGTTCGGTCATGTACCGGATGTTTTTTTTATCTTTGATATCATTTTGATCACCTGTAACTTTTTTGTTTTTGAAGTTATCAAGGTAAACAAAAAAACAAAATGTAGGGTTAGTAGCCAAGTTTTTTTTCAAGTTACACATAAAACAAAACACTATCAATTTTTTGACATGTAAGCCTTCATTATATTTTTTCAAATGGAACACCCTGTATATTATATGTGTGTTCGATAGAATATCTTATTCTGATTACAATGATATGACACACTTCATATTTTGGTCCACTCGTTTTTGACAAATCGGCAAAAATATGAAACTTTCGAAGTGAAACTTATTAGGCGGGGGGGGGGGGGGTCTGATATTTGGGACGAAAATTATTGAGAGCATATAAAAATTTCATATATTTTTGCTGATTTGTCAAAAACGAGTGGAACAAAATATGAAGTGTCTTGTATCATGGTAAGCAGAATAAGATATTTTATCGAACACACATATAATATACAGGGTGTTCCATTTAAAAAAAAAATAATGTAGGCTTATATGTCAAAAAATTGATAGTGTTTTGTTTCATGTGTAACTTGAAAAAAAGACTTGGCTATTAATCCTACATTTTGTGTTTTTGTTTAACTTGATATCTCTAAAAACAAAAAAGTTACAGGTGATCAAAATGATATCAAAGATGAAAAAACACCCGGTACAAAGAATAGCAGATACCCAAACAAATTATTGCGTGGAAGCCAGGAAGCCAGAAGAAGATGCGGCAGACCGAGAAGAAACTGGAGAAGTGGAGTAGACGAAGAAATCTTAGACAGAGCCTTAGAGGAGGATGCCTGGATTGACAGAGATGGTTGGAGATCGGGAATCGGAAGACGTAGAACATTATAAACCGATAATTATATAGGGTGAGTTACTAAGCGCGCGGTCGTTCATATCTCCTATACTAACGGAGATCGAAGAAAAAACTGAATACAAAACTTGTAGATAAATATGAGTACTACATTCCTAAATTATTTTCCAGCAAACAGGGTGGCACAATAACTAGTAGTGACACAACCTTATGTTTTTTTAAATGACTTCCCCTGTATATTATGACATTTCTAGATTCTGCGGAAAATTCTAGACATATTTCATGTACCTACAATGTCATATACCTATCTTCAACTGTTTCGGAAATATTGACAGTTGAAAATTGACTTTTTTGCATCTTTGACAGACTTTGAAACCTAAACGGTTAATTTTAGAGGAAAACGGATTTTACATTCCTATCTTAGATTTTTATAAGCTATTATTTGACACCAACTTTGAATTTAACCGAAGATTAATAATTTAGGCGAAATTTTTAATCAAGGATTACATCGAGGATTACATTCAAGATGGGTGTAAAATGATAGCTTATGAAAATCTAAGATAGAAACATAGAAACGTAAAATCCGTTTTCCTCTAAAATTAACCGTTTAGGTTTCACAGTCTGTCAAAGATGCGAAAAAGTGAATTTTCAACTGTCAATATTTCCGAAACAGTTAAAGATAGGTATATGACATTGTATATGAGTTATGTCTAGAATTTTCCGCAGAATCTATAAATGTCATAATATACAGGGAGAGTTATTTAAAAAAACATAACTTTGTGTCACTACTAATTATTGGGCCACTCTGTATACTGGAAAATAATTTAGGAATGTAGTACTCATGTTTATTTTCAAGTTTTGTATTAAATTTTTTCTTCGATCTCTGTTAGTATCGGAGATATGGACCACCGCGCGCTTAGTAACTTACCCTGTACTATATATTAAAAAGAAATACCATACCATGTCAATGAAAAAAACTATCAAAAATCGGAGTCATGAATCTACCACTCGTGTAGTAAATAGATACCTACCTACTCAGCACTCTAGTGCGGTACAGTGCCTACTACATACCACATTCGTATTAGTGTGTTGTAAGTAGTTATTAGAGAGTTTTCGTTGCCTTTTAAAAGCGATTCCGATAGCCGCTATTTGACAAATTTGACATTTAAGCTATCATTTATCGTTATCGTTACCGATAAGTGCCGGGAGCTTACGGACGGAAGACAAAACCATAGCGAAAACGAAAAGCATGCGTATTTCCTATGTTTTTGTTGTGGTTTGTTTTTGTTTTTAAATGTTTTTGGTTTTCGAAATAGATTCAATACTAAATTCCCTCAAAAGATTGAAAAATCGTTTCACGGATGAGGACAATATTATTTATTATTTTATGTGCAATCGAGTGTTCCATCCTGAAAATCTCGCACTATTTTTTATAATTCTGGCCACATAATTTTTTAAGTACAAGCCCTGATGAAGCCCTAAACTATTGGGCGAAACGTTGGCAAAGACTTGACAGGCCTTTTATTTCTTGTCCTAACCGACGAATTACCCCCCTTCATTGGATATAGGACATGAACTTCTCTTTATCATTTACTATTTTATTAGAAGAAATATTGGCCAACAACCCATATGACGATGCATCTATATAGGCTTTTGTAGTAGCCAATTTTGTAAATCCCACAGGGAAAATTAATGAATTTTGGGTACTAGGAAATTAAAAAAAAGTACAAAACGTATATAAACACAATGATAAACACAAACCATTAAAGAAAGGTTATGTTTGTCGAATTCGACTTAACGTTAACGTTAAGCGGATTGAACGAAAACTATTTTTACGATCTGTCAAATAGCGACTTTGTTTTCGTATTCGTTATGGTTAACCGTTCGAATTTGGCAATACAACGAAAACTCTCTATTCAGTCTAGTTTGTTATTCATGCGTTAACGAAGGCCATAATGGGATTCTGAACACTGTCAAATGAAATTAGAGTCATTACGTTAAGATAGTTTTAATTTCTTTATTGATTCGCTATGATCTTATCTTTAGGTACGGGTATGGATATGAAAGTTATACGTAGGTACGTATACGTAGAGCCCAAAAGCATTTTAAAACCTAATTTTTGCCATATTAGCCTCAAGAGCAGTTTCGAAATTTTATAGAGCATTAGAATTAAGTTTAATAATTTTAAAAGCTCTTCTTGCCAACAAATAATAGAATCATGTTTGTGATGTTATCTTTATTTACACGTGATATAAAGAAAAGAGCACGTAAAGCGCGAAAGCTTTAAACCCAATGGCTAAAAAGGATAATGAAAACGTGCGATGACGTGAAAATGCAAATTAAGCAAAAATGGATTAGAGAGAGCTTTACCAGAATAGAAAACTGAAGATATCGATTTGTGCATCTCTCAATTTCGCTTTATAAAATAATAGCTCTGTGTGTCGCTCTAAACCAAACAGAGACGGACTTTCACTCAATTAATATGTAAATTTCCATAATATCTCTTTCATTTTTCAAATTTTGGGTATTAAAATATTATTTTGACTATTTCTGGATAATGTTTAATCTCAAATACACCTTACACAATGAGCCTATTATTGTATGATTCGAGGTATATATGGGTAGTCCTAATGCTTGAAACTCCAGATATTTGTCGGCATTCCAGTAATTTATCGGCTATTTGGTTTTGTTAGGCATAGTTAATAGATTATCATTATCAGTCAGTGCGGATCAGAAGTCAGGAAACCATGAAAATGGGGATAATTTCTCCACTGTGTAGGTGGCTACGATTTTCGTCACCTCCAGGAAATTTAGAGAAGAGATGCAAATTTGATTTTTTTTTGGGCTGCACACCTAAAATGTTTATTTTCATAAGTATTAAAGCTTTTATTATTTTTTCCTTACCAATCAGTGACCGCATAGTCAAAGTTTAACTTTTACCTGGCTTCTCTGAAAAAAAAAACATATTTAAGAAAAATTATGTGTATTTCTATGGTTCCCTTATCTTTGATGCGCATTGTATTACCACGAAGGGCAAATTTGTCGAAGCCATTTTCTACCCCAAAATATTCAAAGAGCTACTGATATTTTTTACAATATCCAATATGTCCGAAAAAATTACTATTTTCCATTATTATCAGTACCTAACATAACATCCTACATGATAACAAAAGACCCAGACCAGTGGAGTTGTTGACCTAGTTTTAATAGGGCTATAGTGTACTATATATAATGAAAAATCTTACAGAGGGTGAGACAAATAAGGTCAAGTTTTTGCTGAATTGGCATTCAGGGATATCTGATTTTACGCCAAAATGATTAAAAACAGAAGACTGGGATAGGGAGCTTCATTCTACATTTTGTGCTTTCGAATTTCACACAAAATTATTATAGATCTGGCAACGTTGCTTGTATTCCTAGAGTAAAGTTTAAATTAACCAGTCCGTCCACATAGGACATGAACATTGTTCTCAGTAGTGTTGTTTGGCTGGCGTTGCCAGCCGTTTATCGTTTTTAAAAACCGCAGCGTCATCAATTTAGATAAAATTTTGTTTGCGACGATTAAACGTTAACAAGCTACTAATTCCGTAGTACAAATAAATACCAATCAGTGCTTGGAATTAATTTTAGGGTGTGAAGAGTCTTTGAATAGAATTAAAAAATATTAGATAGCTAAATATACCTACTGACAAAATAATGTTTACAACACGTGTTTGCGCCGTTGTCATACTTTGCCTACAAATTATCCTGAGTGCTCTCGCGGATATTGAACCTAAGTCAATATACGATTTTACAGCCAAAGATATTTATGGAAATGAAATATCTTTGGGAAAGTACAAGGTAAGCAAGTAAGTTTATTTTAAACCAGATTTGTCAAATAGAATTTCTAGGATCATGTTTGCATTATCGTCAACGTAGCTTCCGAATGTGGCCTCACGAACTCCAACTACGACCAACTTAACGAGCTCTACAAGAAATATAAAAATCAAGGACTGAAAATTCTTGGATTTCCCAGCAACGAATTTGGAGGCCAGGAACCTGGAAGCGATGAGGATATTTTGAAATTTGCCAAAGGAAAAGGTAGGTACCTAAATAAACTGGCCGATGAGTTGATAATAACTTTTGAAAAAATTATAGGTGTCGAGTTTGATCTTTTCTCAAAAATTCAAGTTAATGGTAGCAATGCTCATCCCCTATGGAAATACCTTAAATCTCAACAGGGTGGCTTTATGGTTGATGCCATCAAATGGAACTTTACCAAGTTTCTGGTCGATAAAAATGGTAAGGTAGTGCAGAGATATGCTCCGACCACTTCGCCCAGTGACATGGTTGAAGATATAGAGATTTACCTTAGAAGTTCAAATACTAAAGGTGAACTTTAATGAATGCTAATTATTTGGAGTAATTAGCAATGAAATGCTCTCTACGTTTGTTATAAAATAATTATGTTTATTTAGCAGATAATATTTTTAAAGTTTGGAATAAGTAGGTTGGTATAAAAATATTTTTTTCAAACAGGAATCCAAATAAAACTATTTCATAAAAAATATATGCTGTGTTTAATTTGTGATTTTCAGAAAATTAACATTTATGATAGAATCCTGCAGTTCTGACGCATTATGTAGCACCAGGTTTCTCATAGGTGGTGTTATTAACATAACAAGCAAAATGCTATGAGGTAAACATTGAAAAATGCCAGTGTAAAGATGGGGCAAAAATTAACCTTTGCATTATAAAATATATGATGGTAAATAGGTACACCCACGAAACTGAAGCCTGGCAAAGGTTAATGTGGGACTGGATGTGGGATTATCGCTTGATTGGAAGAAATTAATTTAATTTAGATTTAAATTCTGGTTTATTTCAACAGAATTAAAGGCATTTTTTAGCGAGCCCCCAGTAATAACCGTTTATAACCCGTGCGTTTATACACGGTTACACTCCCACTTCAAAACTATATCCGTACCATTGGCAGATTTCTAGGATTAAACCGCTTCTCGCTAAAACGGAACGGTTATCAAAATTTTACAGTTAAGTGAGTTAGTTTATATTTTGTGTTTGACATAAAAGAAATGAGGTCAATAATTAAGTCCAATTAATTGACGATATTATGTTATTATGTTTGAAAACACCCTGTATATTCTAATTTCTAATTCTTATCGAGTCAAGTATAGTGGTCCCTTGAAATGTATATTGCGAAAAAATCATGAGAGACAGTTTCTGGACCATAATATGTGGATTATTATCTCCTTCAACTTGATAACTAACTACTACCGGCGACTCCGGCGAGATCTACCATTTTTTGATATCCTCCAATAACAAAAAAACCTCAGAAGAAACTCCCTTTTACACATCAAAATAATCATAAATGAATCTAAGGTTAGAATTTTTCAGTTATTCAACTCTCGACTTGGGTATTAAAAACAATAACCGTGTTATAGAATGATGACGTCACTTTATGACAGCAAAATACCTTTCCCTATTACCGTTTTCTCGCAAAAACTGATCGGTTATTGATTTCCAGTTACCGCTTGTAACACGGGAACTTACGGGAGCTCGCTAAAAAATGCCTTAAGTATTGAAATTGAATCAAAACAGTTGACATTTTAACCCTCCGTACACATACTTTTTGAAAACACCAACCACACACTGGGGTGTATAATACCCCAAGCATTTATTGCTGGTTCTTAACACAAAAAAAAAATTATACACGTTTCAGGATATTGATAGATGTTTATTTGTTCAGAAAGCAAAACCTAACACTTGAAAAATTGATATTTTTGTACTAAAAAACAAATAAATAATCTGTTACATTGAACTTCTACAAAAAAATCAATAAAAATGTTTTAGTGGAAAGATAACTTTCTATCAACGAAAACGAATATTTTTGAATAAAATCTAATAAATTTCTCTTATCAAAAAAGTAAATTAAAATACAAACACAGAAAAATTGATATCAAATTATTCGATACATACAAAAAGTATATTCACAAATAAGTTACTTGCAACACGCACTGGGGTATAGTAGACCCCGCGACCTACTAACACGCTTGTCAGTCATAAACTAATAAATGCTTGATTCTGCCATTTGGGGTTTAGGTAGTGAGGGGCATAAACTAAATTTATTTACGACTAATGTATAATGTGCGTATTATATGTGTGATTTTGGCAGTATAATGACATATGTTATTCCTCCAGGGATTAATGACGAGTAGCGGGATTAATGGTCATTATTCCACAAAAGTGTCAGTGTCAAACGTGTAGTGCTTGTGGATTTGTATTGAAAATTATGAGACGGATGAAATTTGTTCATTGAAAATCTCAAATAAATTAATTTGTCGTAAATAAAGTAGAGTATACTACTCGTAATAATGGCTATTATTCCCTCGGAATGTTACTCCCTCGCCGCTAACGCGGCTCAGTTCGTAATAATCCTCGGGAATAATAGCTATTATTATTGACTCGTGGTATAATCTACTATTACATGGAGTCTTGAAACCATCACTAAAAGTTCCGTAATTTGCCACGCTTTCAAACTTTTGTTGGTAGACCCCAGTGTGTGTACGGAGGGTTAAAACGCTAGGTCATCATAAAATACAATTAATAAGTAAATCATGAATGGAATGTATCTATTATACAGGGTTGTTATGTATGGAAACGGCCTAATATTTCTGAAAGCGCTCAAGAATTAGGTACCATATTTCCTACCTGGAGTTTTTTGGGAATGCCCGATTCAATGGTGGTATTTGCAATGTTGCCAAATTTAGATACCGTTTCTAAGATGTCGTATCTAACTTGATTTTTTCAAATAAGAATCCCTCTTTATTTTTGTCGTAATTAATTCAGCGTCCAACATTACTAAAACCCCTAATGCCAAACCTCCATTTGACTTGGTTTTTGAAATATGGCAACAGAGCTTTTTTGTTGAAATGTATGGAAACGGTCTCGTATTTCAGAGGCTCTAGGAAAATGTGATTGTTGTACGTATTCAAGATTTATAGGGGTGCTGGTGGGCCCAAGTAGAAAATAATGTACATTTTTCTATTCTGACATACGAGACCGTTACCATAAATTTCAACAAAAAAGCTGTGTTGCCATATTTCAAAAACCAAGTCAAATAATATGGATGTTTGGCCTTTAAGGGTTTCAGTAATGTTAGGATGCTGAATTAATTACAATAAAAAAAAACACAGACTTTCATTTAAAAAGATCAAGTTACTTACGGCAACCTATAAACGGTAAACTTGGCCACGTTGCAAATATTACCATTGAATCGCGCATTCCCAAAAACCCCAAGGTAGGAAATATGGTATAGTATTTTTAATACCTATTTAGAAGTACCTGTCGTTTTAGTGACAAAACGTATGTCGCTTCTTGACACACAAATGAAATTAGGTTAGGAATTTCCTATTTGTAGATGAAATTGACGTATTAGCAGTCGACGTTCGTTTTTGTTGGTAATTTTTTGTTTCACCTGATTCGCGATTGATGAATAAGGATGAGGTTATTCTAAATGGGTACTACAAATACTATACATTGTCCCTATAAACGCATTCAGAAATATTAGGCCGTTTCCATGCATAAACCCTGTATAGTAGTGTATAGTTTTAATAGCACTAATTACATTCAGAGATAAGCCTTAAGATGGCCTGCGCTGGGACATTACGAGAACAAAATAGCAAATACAAGCAAAAGGAATAAAAAGCAGTATCCGTTAGAGAGTCCTAGCCCTGATGATCTAAAGGTCGAAACGTCGGCTGCCTATTGATTTTAATGATAAGTTATCTACTCGAATAAGCTGCAATTTTTTACATTAAATAACTCTTGTATCCGAGACTGCATTATTGTGAATTTACATTAAAAGTGCTAAGCGATTAAAAGCGGTGAGCGTTTTCGAGGACGAGAATACCGGCGCTGGGCTGGGACCTTACGAGACCAAGATAGCAAATGCAAGCGATGAAAGGAATAAAAAGTACTATCCGTTAGAGCGTCCCATCCCTGATGATCTAAAGGGAAACGTCGGCTGCAGAAATATTTTACATAAAATTACTCTTGTATCCGAAACTGCATTAGTTCCTTACATAATCTCTTTGAGGTATAAGACGCTTCGAACATAAGAAGTAGGTAGCCTCCTAGGTATGGTGAAGAAATTGCAACCCGAGCGCTTATATTCAGGAATCCCATTGTGTGATTAAAATAAACAAGCATTTACGTGATTCTAGAGACTTCTCGATCGAATGTTTTTGTAAGTACCTATATAAAGAGCGGACCTCGTAGATCAGGAGTCAGTTTAAATAAGAGAATTTTAACATAAAGTTTTTTGGGGTACCAAATACCCTTTGAAACCCCAGCGTTGAGCCCGTCACCCAAAAACCACCCCTTATATCGAGTGAAATCTACCTTTTTTACATTTTTCTTAATAATAACTCCAAAACTAAGCATTTTTTGAAAATATGTCAAGTAAGAAAAATTGTAGAGAAGAAAATTTCCAAATGGGTATACAGGGTGAGTTACTGAGCGCGCGGTGGTCCATATGTCATATACTACTATACTAAAGGAGATCGAAAGAAAAACTAAATACAAAACTTGTAAATAAACATGAGTACCACATTCCTGAATTATTTTCCAGTGTACAGGATGGCCCAATAAATAGTGGTTATACAAAGTTATGTTTTTTTAAATGACTTCCCCTGTATATTATGACATTTTTGGATTCTGTGGGAAATTCTAGACCTATTTCATGTTTAATGTCATATACCTATATTCAACTGTTTCGGAAATATTGTCAGTTTAAAATTGAGTTTTCTGCATCTTTGATAGACTGTAAAACCTTAGCGGTTGATTTTACAGCAAAACCAATTTTACATTCTTATCCTAGATTTTCATAAGCTATCATTTGGCACCAACTTTGAATTTAACCGGAGAATAACAATTTAAGCGACATTTTTAATCATGGATTAAATTCAAAGTTGGTGTCAAATGATGGTTTAATAAAAACTAAGATAAGATTGATAAGAATGTATGATCGGTTTTGCTGTAAAATTAATCGTTCAGATTTTACAGTCTGTCAAAGATGCAGAAAAGTCAATTTTCAACTGTCAATATTTCCGAAACAGTTGAAGATAGGTACATGACATTGTACAGGGTGGTCCAAATTGGACACTTTCTTATGGAAACACCCTTTATTTTTAGAGATAGAAAAAAATGGACCCCCCACTCTGAGGCTCAAATTACATGAAATCTTGATTGGTGCAAACCGCATTTTGATATCTTCAACCGTTTAGCCGCTAGAGGGCGATTCTCGATTTTGAGCAATACTGTAAAGCCTTCATTACTTTTTTGTTTATGAAAATAATTCATTTCCGTAAAGACCTTTTGGAAGCACTTTTTCAAGCAGAATTCAGTGACGTTCTCAGTTTTTTTTTGTCTGGCTTTGATTTCGAGATATTGACCAAAATTCGATTTTGTTCAATAGGACACCCTATATATTAATAGTTCATTAGAAAGCTATGCTTTCGCTGATTTCAATGATATAAAGTTCGATAGGTT